GCCTTGTGTTAAATCATGACATTTAGGACAAAAGGATAATAGTTATAGAACGTCTTGTGTTGTAGAAGGTATTGATGAGATGAACGTCTTTTTCATAATCTGGGGATAATAATGTGTTGCTAGATACCACTTATTATCTATGGTATTAATTTTATTAATATCATTGCCAGTGTTATGGATATCTAAAGGGTCACACACTTAGGACTTGTAAGGGAGTAGTATACTACACTAGTGGGAGTAATATTAAATATATAGTTATGGTAATTATATATATATATATATATGTATTTCGAAAATACATATGTATTTTAAAATTATATTTTGTTTGTGTCATTTTAATTATATGATAATTATATTTTGACAAAACAAATTTTATTATATATATATATATATATATATATATATTACTTTTATTTTCATCATTTTATATATATGATAATTATTGATGTAAAAAAAAAAGTAATGTATTTTAACATGCTATGGCCGAAATTCTAAGGGGAAAAATACAAAACATATTTTGATATTCCACCTAATGATATATTTGATTTTATAATCAAATATTTGATTAACAAAAGTATACTTGTGTTGTTGTGTTGGTTGGGGACATTACACTAATCTCATTTTGTTTTGTCCCAAAGCAAATTCCTAGAAATTCCTTAATGTATTATATTATAAAATGAGAAAAATCCCTCCCCATTTTTAAGTGTGATTTTCGGCCATAGAGAGAGAGAGGAGAAAATTATTATTTTGTGTTCCAAGTTATTTTTCTAAAGTGTTAGAAATATACAAAAAATATTATAAAGAAATATTTATAAGATAAATATTTTACTATATATTTATTACTCCCAAAGTAGTATTATTATAGTTTTTACTATCCTATACTAAACTTGCTAGCACAAGTTTAATCTTGGACTCCGGAGCAAGTTCGTGTGGATACGTTGGAGGCTTCATACGTTTGGCGCTACGTTCATCTCCTCAAAACCATCCCCGACCGTTACTGTTTGGGGTATTTTTATATTATTCTTATTAAGTAGTTTATGTGTAGAATACTTGTTATTTGTTCCATAAATACTTAATATTTATGAAAATTAGATTTTATATTTTCTGGGATGTATTTGACATGTCAATATAACTCAGAAATTTTAAAATCGATTTTTGGAATTAATTTCCTATTTTTCTATTTTTAAATTCGTTTATTGAATAGAAAATAGGAAAACTTATTTTTGACCATCAAAAATTAATTTTAATTCATAATAAGTTGCAACCAGAGCTTTTAAGCTTGTATAAAATGTTTCATAATTTTTAAACATGTAAAAGTATTTATTTTGTATTTTTGAAGTAATTGGATCGGTACTATTCACTAGTCCGATTTTTAATTATTTTAAATTGCAAAAATAAAATTTTAAATTCTGGAAAAATCGTATTCTGGTTCTGGAACTTATTTTTGACTTGAAAAATAAATTGTGTTATTTTTGGAATTTCGAAATATATTTTCACAATATCATTTCGGTTTTCTAGATATGGAAAAATAGTTTTCAAAATTTTAAATTTTATTCATTTTGGAATTTTTGGATTTCCAGATTAATAAAGTTTACTGGGAGTCTCCAATAATTATTTGCTAATTTAGAAAACATATATATATTTAATTCGAAATAAAATCCCTTTTTTGAATTTAAATGTATATATACGGTAAATATAAAATATTTTATTTTCTGGAATTTAGAAATTTAAAGTATTTTATGATTTTTAATTAAATTACTTGCTAGTTAAATTAATTTATTGTTGATAGTTTATTCTGTAGAATAGAATAAACTAGGTCTGGGCGAGCGCGGTTCGCCCGGTGTATGCTTTAATATGTATGATGTGATGCATGTGATGCTTGTATGTATTATTGCATAGTGGATGATTGTGGCTTAGTTATATTTGTTGTAATTTTAAATACGGCCTGCGTGTCGTGCCTCATCTCTATACTCTGGATGTAATTCTCTTCTTTACCTCAAATATTCTTTTCTCTCGAAAATTATAAGAAGATAAGAAGATGAAGTCCGTTCGTGATAGAGAATCCTAAGGAAGACGTGATGGGCCGGAGATAGAGATTTCTTGATCAAGGCGCTGTCGTTTGTTTTTCTTTAGGAGCCACAATCATTTCACGTTTACTTATTCTGCATGTGATGTATGATTGAATGTATGCATGTATGTGATTTTCGCTAGTGCATACGCGCGGTGTATGCCATAGGCAAGACTGTGTAATAAATCCCTCATAATTTTAAGTCTGTGCCACCCCGACGCCCCGTCACTCGTCAAACCCAATTTAGATCGGTAACGGACTCACCCAAGTGAGACGCCCGGTTTACGTTGGTTAGGCGCGAAACCCGTAATTAGGGTACTGACTCGCCCCGGGTTAGTCTTAACTAAGTCTTGGTCATAAGGATGAGAGACTTAGGGCACTGCGGTAGGATCAATAAATAAAATCAGATCATCCAACCAGAGTTGTAAATTGTTACAATTGGAATTTATTCCTACCAGAAATAATTTAACTGTAGGGCAAGATGCAAAGCACAACTATAGTTAA